GCGTGGCTGGGGGGACATCAGCAGGGCTCCCCTGACTGCGGGTAGGCAGGCAAGCAGGAACCAGCGGGCTGCAGGGGGGGATGCTGGGGTGGGAGGCCCCAAGAGACACATCTATTATGGAGGGCCACCTGAGGAGGCAACATCTGTTGGGGGAGATTTGGAGTCACACCTCACAGATAGCATCAACATGTTCTGTGTCCCAACAGGGGACAATGTGCTTGGAGCCTGGCACCAAGCTCTCCCTCCTGTGTGGACGTCACTGGCCCTTCTACAAACAGTTCTCTGACCCTCCTTAATCCTGCAGCGACTGAGGGCTCCCAGCACCCTGCACATGCAAAGCAAACCCTGTGCACCGCACAGCTGAGGGGTCCCAGCTGGTCCTGCTGCAGACCCCAAGCAGCCTCTGTGTGCTCATCAAGAACCAAGGGCCTTGCCACGGAGGTACCACAAACCCATTGAAATAATCAGGGCACAACCCTGGCCTGTCACCTCTCACCACAAGAGTCAAATGTGGCTTGCCAACATCTGGAGAGGCACTGAGGCTCAGAGGGAAGGGAGCTTTCCCAGGGAGCGTGCATACATGTGCACATGGACACTCACAGCCACCAAGGGTTAAACTTCCTAGCCCTTGCTCTTAAGACCAGGCAGAGTTTCATGGAATCACAGAATGCTGGGGGTTGGAAGGGACCTTGAAATATCATCAAGTCCAACCCCCCTGCCAAAGCAGGTTCCCTACAGCAGGTTGCACAAGAAAGCGTCCAGGCAGGTTTTGAACATCTCCAGAGATGGAGACTCCACAACCTCCCTGGGCAGCCTGTCCCTGTGCTCTGTCACCCTCACAGTAAAGAAGATTTTCCTTAAGTTTGTCTGGAACTTCCAGTGTTCCAGTTTTTGCCCATTGCCCCTTGTCCTGTCACCAGCCATCACCAAAAAGAGCCCGGCCCCATCCATTTGGCCCCCACATTTCAGATATTTATAGACATTTCCCCCAGCACTGTGCTGCCTTTTGGGGGTGCATGGAGGCAGCACCTTCCCCATCCTCTCAAGCTGCCCTGCTGTGTGCACAGGCTGCAGAGCCAGTCCCTTGTCCCACTGCTGACATAGGTGACACACTTCTCCCGAAACAAAGCCAGCAGCTTAGGGCAGACTTATGTTTGGGTCTCAGTTGGAGCCTGGTGGAATGGGATCTGAGCTGGGACCGATCTCTCCCTGCCAGATCAGGTCTCTGCTCCTCTTGGTTTGAAGGGGGCCCCCTGCTTCTCCAGGTGATCTACTGGGCCACCAGCAATCCTGGAGTTTCACACTCTCCTTCTTCATAAATCATAACCCCACCTCTTTTAGGAAGGGGGTGAGTAGTCAGGTACCTTCAGGGGATGGTCCCTGCTGCAGGAGAGGCACTGATTCCCCGTGCTGTTCAAACACAGACATCCTGATGCCATGCTCCTCTCTTCCCTAGCTGGTTGAGGTGTCCCTGCTGGTTTGGGATCCCCAAACCAACCCTCCTCAGAGCCTGAGGAGCTGGGGATGGAGCCTGTGTGTCCAGCTTGGGGTAGAGGATTCACTACCAGACAGGATGCCTGGGGCAGGGCACTGCAATATGGACAGGAGCAAGTGCCCTACAAGCTCAGGGATGGGGATGCCCTCAGGCTCACAGCAGGAGCCAGCATTAGAGCAGGAGCTAAACTTGGTGGCCTTCATTAAAATCCTTCCTAGTTTCGTATTCAAAACCATTTACCTGCAAAACCCACTGCTTTTAGCTGCCTTCTGGCTTTTTAAACAGAGCTGGGCAGCAAGAAGGGGCTCCTGATGCCAGCTGGAGAGGGTAGGAAATCAAAGGGAGAAGAGGTGGTACAGGGGACAGCCAGCACTGTCCCTCACCTAGGCAGAGCACTGCTCTGGGGGGCTGCTGAGAGATCTCCTACCACCTCTGGGACTTGTGTCCTCCACAGCCTGGGACAAGGCACGTGGAGCCAGCTTGGCACGAGCCCTGTTTCTATGTGCCCCTGTTTTTGGGTGCCTGACCTGAAACACCCCAAGTTTTCTTTGTGGAGGAGTGGGAGGCCCACAGCTTCCCTTCTCTTTATGCTTTTACACAACAGGCTCTTCATGGCGGCTTCCCAAAGTCAGAGGAGAAAGGCCCATTGTTCTGCTCTCATCCCTCGTGCTGCGGGGACACGGTGGTGGGGACCTTGTCTTGCTCTGCTGTGACAAATGGTGTGTATCAGAGCTGTGGGCAGCACAGGATGCCCCTGGTAGGATGCTGAAGGCAAGGGGGGGCTCTCAGGAGGAAAGCCCTTGGAGAACCAGAGGACGAGACTCTTGGTAATGGCCCATGCTGGGTGCAAGAGCAGGGTGTCACCTGCCACCTCCCAGCCTCGTCACTCCCTTGCCCTTTGGCTAGGCTGGCACACGGTACCTCCTTATCTCACACATACCCATCTGCTCTGCAGAGGGTCTTCTTCCAGCATCAGCCCCACCACTTACACACCCTCATTTCCCTCACCATCCTGGCCAGACCCTCAGGATTGCTCAAGCCCCTCCTTTGGTTCCTTGTCTTCAGTAAGTTGGCTGTAAGAGCCACCCCAAGAAGTGGCCCTGCAAAAGCCCATGGCATGGAGCTGCAAAATCCTTGCCTCTCGGTAGCTCTTCCTCCAGGAAGAAAAATGCTTCCCTTGTAGACAGCCCTCCCAAGAAAACCCCAGAGCCGAGATATGCATGAGGCTCCTGTCTCATTCCTAGAGAGGAATGCGTGTGCCTGGAGCTCTTCTGGCCACCCTGCTGCTGCTGCTTGAGCCGGAACAGATGTTCTGGGCAGGGCTAGGTGCCATAAAGCTAACTGAAATTAAGGCAGGGATAACGTCACAGGACAGAAACCCGCCTGTCTGGCTGATTCCCAGGGAGGCAAATCTGCAGCGTGGTTTGTTCTCTACCATCACCCTGACATGGATGTGAACATGACACCCCTGTGATGGCTCTCTAGGACCAGAAGCTCCTTGTGCTCTTCAGGTCCCCAGAGGGAACAGCTGGGATTCCTGCTCCCCTTCCCAGCACTTTATGGGAAACACGATAAAGAGGCCAAGGCAAAGCCAGGGAAGCCCCCCCTGCTCACCTCGAGAGAAACGCAGGCCTTTTCCAGCAAACTCCCTCTGCAGGGCTGCTACAAACTTCTCTCGGATCCGCTCTTTCTGTGCAGGAGAAGGAAGAAAAGGAAGGAAAGAGGGTTTGAATAATTAGATGTTGACAGTCTACCAGAATCCACCGTAAGCTGTCTGCTGGGCAACTCTGGCTTATTGCTCTGCTCCCTTCCCACCTGCCCCGAGCCCCAGCGTCACGCCATTTAGCCAGCTTTCACCAGTCCTGCCCAGTGTTGGTGTAAAATGCCACCAGCCAAGGGCAGCTCCAGCGGGATCCTGGGAAGAGCAGATCCCAGCCTTTCCTTGGCAGTGAAATGCAACCGCTTCAGTTTCCCAGAAGCTCTGTTCATAACCCAAAGTCCACAGCTTTGCTCCAAAAGTCTTGCAAAGTCCGACTGATGCCTCAACCCCAAGAAAGCTTCCCCAGGCAGAAACTGCTGTGAGCATGGGCCAAGTGCTCCAGAGATCTGCCCAGCAGATCCACCACAGCCCTCCCAGTCTGGAAAGCCCATTAGTTCCAGCTCTGCTGGGGCTGGGAGAGTGGGAGAGAGAAGAAAGCTGCTGGGCCATCTTTGGTTACTGTAAATGAGGAAACACCCTGCCAAATAAGTGCCTTATTCCCTGGGGCTCTACCACCGCACAAGGAATCCTGCTGGCCACCCCATTGCCTTAGGGGTCCCCAATGAAGTAAAATTCTTCCATTTATCTGTATTTCTCCTCGGGTTTTCTGACCCCCCAGTCCCGTCTCCACCCTGCTATGAGTGTTGGCCTGGTGCGCAGCTTGGAACTGGGCTCCTTTATCTTCGGGGTGGGGGAAGCAGGTAAGACCCAAGATCTGTGGTGGTGCTAAACCAGCAAAGGGGACGTCAAGCCCAAGTCTGGCCCCTCTACCTTGTCCAGCTCAGAGAACTCGATTCGCTCCTCTGGCGTGCAGCTCCGTCCGATGGGGGAGATGTTCAGCATCCCGTTGCGAAACTCAATGAAGGTCCCTCTGTGGGTGGGCAAGGGCAGAAAGTTACTGGGGCAGGGAGAGAAAACCAGACCTTTCCAGGGGAATGGCTGATTGGTGGGGCATGCAGTCTCTGCAGGGACACACAGGAGGAGAGAAGCCATGCCCACTCATGGGTGCTTCATGCCAGGCAGAGACCAGGCATCAACAGTTCTGCTGAAGGTCTCCAAGACGCTCGTAGTTTTATAAAAAGAGACTGTAAGAGAAGAGGAATAAACAGTTCCTGTGTGCCCTGGGGACAGGCTGGAAGCAACGAGCTGAGGTGAGATGACAGGAAACATTTTCTAATGTTGTAATAACTGCAAGAACAGCTATTACCTGGATTGAACCAAACACCCCACGAGACTGTGGCATTTCCACCCTTGGGGGCTTTTAAGAAACACTGGGTGGGTTGGGTGAAGCTGGCAGCACCTTGCAGCAGGGGGATGGAATAGGTCAATGTAACTTGCTGCTGATGTCCGGCAGCAGGCTGATGAGCAATCAGGACCTTCTTGTGGGACACAAATCAGGTAGGACCTATAGGGCCTTTGTATCTCCCATTTGTCTCATGCACCTTTGACTGCAACTCTTATCTAAGCTTGCACAGACAGGACCTGCTTCCTGCTTGCCACCCTCGCCATGCACTGGGATCACAACTCTGCTGCTTCCTCAGTGGGCTGGTTCAATGCACTAAGCCCTCAGAAAACTGCTCCCTTCTTTTCTCTTTGCTATAAACCCAGCCAGTTCTGTTTGCTTATGGCCTTGGAATAGCTCACTGAGGGGTGAAATAGGTACCAGCACTGATGGGGCAGAAACAACAGGGGATGGCAGCACTGCTAATTTGAAAATAGATTGAAACTCTGGTGGAAACCTGGCTGGAGATGGGAGACCCCTTTCCCTGTCCAGCTGAGGAGCCCTGAGCTCACTAATCCTTTGATGTCCCTCCCAGCCCTGCCCACTATTTTTCTGTGATAAAGTGCTTACCACTCTGAGTCTGGGGGAAAACTCTCTACCTCCTGTCTCGTAAAACAGTGAAGAACATAATGAGGAATGGACACACGGGCAGCTGTACCTGCAGCCTGCGAGCAGTGTCTCTGCAGCACCAAGGGTTTGTTGACTCATGCCCCAGGCCAGGACTTGGGAGATGTGGGTTAAAGTCCTTGCTTTGCTAGAAATCCCATAAGCCTAAATCCACAAAAGCACTTAGAAGCTGAAACTTCATCGGGTGTTGGGCAACCAGACAGCAATGAGGCAACCAAAGAGCCCTGAGGGTTCTGGGTCCCAGCCCACACTTTTGGGGGCATGTTCAACCAGCAGTCCTGTTGCAAGGAGCCACCCTGGCAGTTCTCACTGGTCCTCATATTGCCACATGGTGACTCACATCAAGCAACTAATCTGGACCACAGTTTAGCAACTTTTACCAGCTTAATTTCAACCAGACAGCTCACCTGCTCAGGTTCACTGTACAACCACGGGAGCTGACACAAGGGGAGAGCAGGAACAAACCTGCCGGGGAGAAGGGAGGGCTGAGCTGCTGCTGGCTCACACTGGCTTCAAGCGTTTGTGAAACTGTGGTCTGAGGGGTGGTGTGACACTGCACCCAGACTGGTTTAACTGCAGACCGCCTCTGAAAGAGGTCCTCCCGCTCTCCCCTTCCACCTTCATACCCTCTGTTCTCTCTCTCTCCTTTTTGTGATAACAGAGCAAGCCAATCCAATGGAAAACTACCCTTTTCTTTCCTGGCAGTGGCCTAGTCTTCCTTCAGAGGAGGTGTACCACCCCAATTCCCCCGATTGCTGGATCTCGTGGGGGCAAGCAGACAGGAACACACGCCCGCCCAGGGCAGGGCAGGGCCAGCCCTGTTACCAGTGGCACCAAGCAATACTGGGTTAGAAACAGTGTGAAACTGTGCCCTCAGGCGCTGGACCTCCTGTCTTAAGAGCCATTGTTCATCTGTTTGGAAACTCATACGACCAATGATGCCTGATGCCCTGACCAGTAACGAGCTGGTACCATTGTCCTAAACGAGATGCAGGCAGTGGCTGTAACCCTGCTTCCCAGGGAAGAAAATTCGAGGGGCAAAAGAGCCAGCATCATGCTAAAAAATAGTGCAGACTCTCCAGAGCAAAGACCCTCCTCCATTATTTGCCCACAGTGCCCAGCTCGGTGGGACAGTGGTCCTACTCAGGGCCTCTACATGCTAAGATAAAACCTACGCAAGACAAGCTCAGTAGCTCAGCTGTTCTTAAGAGAGCTCTGGAGCCCAGCGCTCCCTAGAAATCAGTGATAGGACTGCCATGTGCAAGGGCTTGGGCCATTACCGTTTCTTGGGCAGTTTCAGCAGCGCCATGTAGTTGAGACAGAAGTTGATTAGATCCTGCAGCAGCTCTTCGCCCAAGTGGTCCTGAATGGCCTGCAGGAAGAGAAGGGGGAGTGAGGAAGGTGTTTTACCTCCCATGAAGCCCACTCAAGCACATGACCTGGAGGAGTGGGACATTCAGATCTAGCATTTGGGGAGAAGAGGCTGCCAATGTACCTGGGGCCAGGTGCTGCTCCCCACAGCCCCCACAGCAGACAGGGCGCGGGGAAGGAGAGCCATGGCTGCAAGGGGAGCTGGACCTACCTGTTTGGAGACCAGCTGCCCATTCTTGTATTGCACTGTGCCGTTCTCTGCGAAGACGTAGTCAAACTTATCAATGACTGAGGGGGGAGGAAACAAAAGAGGAAACATGAGTACTGCCTGGGAAAAGGGGCCAAAAGGACCGGGCTCAGGACTGAGTAAGCCATCCTCCCAGTTCCTTAGTACTGTGCTTTCCACATCTCCCATGCTCTGCAAAGGGCCACTGACCCTCCTCACTCTCTGCAAAGTGGGCAAGGAGATTATCTTCTGCTCACAGGTGGGGGAGCTGACGCACGCAGTGGGAAATGACCTGACAGAGGTCACGGGCTGAATCAGTGGCAGGACAAAGATAAGGGTTCCAAAATGTCAGGCTTTTAACCACGTGTGTGTTACTCTGCTCTCTTTCCTCCCCTCCCCACTGCCAGGGTGCTGGGGTGATGTGGTTACTGGTTATCTAACTCCAGCCCCTCCTGCCACCCAGACACACAGTGCTGCCGACTCAGCAATCAGCCTCAGACGGGAATTTCTCAGCCTCCCGCCACTAAGGAGGCAGCACTTGGAGCCCAGCGGGGCTTGGCATCCATGAGAATCCATCATCTTTCCAGAGAAGGAAAACAAGGTGGAGGGAGCAGGGGCTGTCCCCTCGCCCTCCCACTCCCTCCTCTACCCCATGTCCCAGTTTGAACACGATGAGGAGCCCCCACCATGGAGCAGCAGGGA